TTTCATAACCCGACCCTAGTTTCTATAAAACGATCTTAGGGTCATTTTTTATGGTTAATCTAATATTTTTAGAGAGGGGAAAGTGCCCTAGAGTGAGAGGAGAAATTCCTAAGCCCTTGTTCATCAAATCTTTCTCAAGCCTTAAAATCCAACAAGAAATCCCTCAAGTTCTTCATCTAAGAGGTAAGGTTCCATACTGTAGTTTTCAATTTCGAATTTGGGCAGAAGATGGTTGATTAGGAGTATGATTCTTCGGTGTGAGAGTATTATTTATACAATCATGTACCAATAAGGTTTGTGGGAAGATTGTTGAGCTCAAATAAGTAAAGATTGGGTTGTGGAATAAAGAAAATCTTGTAGAAGAACCTTGTAGTCATATTTGCACACCTAGTGTTTGATAAAATGCTCAAATGAGCTGAAACCTTGAATACCTTCCTAATTTGTGTTCAATTTTGTTATGTCTCAAAATAGATTGGGATTGCTAGGATATTTGGAACGTTGTAGTAATTTAAGGAAAGCTCAAAGCGAGGTATGTTGGCTAAACTACTTTTTTTGAAATGAATTCCATGATGTTCTCGTAAGTTTCAAGTATGGTTGGCTCACGTTCCTTATTCCCGTGTTTTGATTATTCTCAATAAATTCTATTGTCCCGAATAAGGAAGTGTCGAGAATTATGTATTCAAAATGTGTTCAGAATATTCCTATCACATTATGTTATCGTTCGGGAATGTGTTCAAGAATGATATGTGTATTAAAAGGTTATGGCATTGTGCCGTGTTTCAAATGAAAGTCCATTATTCTTAACTTGGAAAGAACACTCCATGCGTCTAAAACTCTAATTGCTTATATGTGTACCTAAAGTCTTGATTTGAAATGCCTTGTTGTTGATAATCTATATGGATTCTTGAAAGTGAAAGAAGTGGGTTAAAAGATGTAACGTGTGGCCACGGTGTCGATAATGAAAATTATACTTGGGGCCGATGGTGCCAATGAAATGAAGTGATGTGAGAAAGGTTAATAAATGAGCCTTGATTCAATTGTTCCAAATTGACTTTGAAAATAGATTTGTCTAAAAGCTTATGTACTCAAGTCATGCCCAAATCGGGTTGTTTCAACTAATGTTATGCTTTGTAAATATTTCCAAAGTGTTTTGAGCTATTATGTATTCATGAGTTAAAAATGTGTATTGCCCTTTGAGGGAAAAGTGTTTCAAGAATAAATGATATGTTACTCGTTTATGATTTTAACTTGTGCTTTGATTGACAATTATTTTACTCAATTTCATGGAAAGAAATCCATTGTGTTTAAAGTCTTCACTACCAATGAACCTAAAGTTGTGATTTCCGTAATATTCTATTTGTTGATATTTATGATGATGATCCATGAAAGAAAAGAAATGAAAGTGTGGAATATGAAATACGGCCATTGTGCCATGAATGAAGAATCATATGTATGGCCAAGAGAGCCAGTGAAATAATGATGTTGTAAGTGGTTGAAAGTTCCAATGAGGCTATATACGGTATGAAAGGTTATGAGGTAAAATGCAATTTGTACTTCTGTTTCCTTTGTATGAAAATAAAAAATGTATTTGGGAGTATATATAATCACCGAGGAAGGGTAGGTTGAAATAACCTAACACCGAAACTACACGTGCCGGTGTAGGAGTGGATTGTGATTATTCCCCTTATTTGGGATGAGATTGATGTGATAAAATTATTCCCATTGATTGGGATGAGATGATTGATATAAAAGGATGATGTCGATCCACACGGCATTGTGGTGATATGGCCTAGCCGATCGGGTCGTTCTCGGACAGCATGCCGCACACATGGTGGTGATTATGCTGGAAATTATAATTGAAATTGTGATTGTGGTTGATGTCTCGGATGAGATGGCCTAGTCGATCGGGTCGTGATCGGACTCCGTACTAAAAGTACGATGGTATTAGTATTATGAATGGTGGTATTGTGAATAGTGGTATATCGTTGCTAATGATTTCCCAATCAAAAATAATATTATCTTCGTATTTTGGAAATTATTATGTTTTAACTTGGCATTTGGATATCATTGATTGTTGATTATTGTTTCCATGGTTTTCCCTTTCTTACATTGGTATTCTATTTTAAAAGTGGACAACTAGCTTTATATACTAGTACTATTCCATATGTACTAACGTCCCTTTTGCCGGTGGCGATGCATCTTCAATGGATGCAGGTAGTTCATCAACAGGCAACCTTGGTCCTCGATAGCAGTTACTCCATATTCAGCAGGTTTTGGTGAGCCCTACTCTATTCTGGGCCTGATGTCATTTGATGTTGTAATTTGTATTTTGAGGTATAGCTGGGGCCTTATTGGCGGCACTTCCATTCTTCACTTCTATTGTACTTAGAGGCTCCGTAGATAGGTTGTGAGTGGTGTTTGATGTGGGGGATTGAACTAGAAATACTGGCATTTGGCAAACATATTTTTCATTTCATCTATAAACTTGTAATAATTTAAAAATTATAAATGAAGCTGCTAATGGAAATGAAACGGAAGTTGTTAATGAAAGCTTTTCAGCGTTTGATTAATGGAGTGTATCTCCTTTTTATTCATGGTTGAGTTTTAGGTAGAAGAAAATCTAACAGGTTTGCTCGGTCGGGTTCACTCGGTTGAGCATCGGTCGCGCTCCCCGAGGACGGGGCATGACAATGTCAGGAGACCGCCCCAAAACAATCTGTTATGGAAATAGGGTACTGATGATTTGTGGAGAAAGGTATAGTCCAAGGATGATTCGATTGTTGATCACCTAAACAAAACACCTGCCCAAATAGCCATCCTGTCATTGCTGCAGAATTCAGACGCACATAAGAATGACTTGATGAAAGTGTTGAGTGATGCTTATGTGCATATTGGTATCACTAGTGGAGAAATGGAAAATATGGTGGGACAAGTACTGGAAACACACAAGATAACTTTCCACGGAGATGATTTGCCACCAGAATGTTTGAGTTATAACCGGGCGTTGCACATCATTATGCAATATGAAAACAAGTTCATTGCTCTAGTCTTGATTCATGGAGGTTCAAGTATGAATATATTCCCTCTGACCACTCTAAGGAGGTTGGGAATAAGCATACCTAAAATACGGCTTGGAAGCATGAACGTGAAAGCATTCAACGGATCCCAAAGGGCTACAATCGGAGAAATTGATTTGAGTTTGAAGATAGGTCCAAGTATCGAGTTCCTGGTACTAGACATCTCTACCACTTACAATCTGTTATTGGGACAACCATGGATACATATGGCTGGGGTAGTTTCTTCTACTCTGCATCAATTTGTATAGTTCGAATGGAATCATCAGGAGGTGATCATTTACGGAGATGGCAACAATCCTATCTATACCAACCAGACTGTGTTAGCCATTGAAGGCAAAAGGAAGTTATGAGGGGATACATTCCACAGCATTGAATGAATAAACACAATCAATAAGGGACCGTGGTAGAGTAATAAAGTGATGAGCATGTTGCTTTGGCTAGGGTGTGAGCCAAGATGAGGTCTCGGTCCCAAGCTTCAGGGGATAACATAACCAATAGGCCACTGACTCATGGCACTACTTTCAATCTTAGGTATGAGAACACTGTGAAAGAATATCGGGATTGGTCGCCACCATGGCATGATTTCTACTTCCCATTTCCTAAACCCATACCACCGTTGTACCAAACATTCCGCAAGGTCGACGTGATTTGGGGTTCTGAAGAAGATGAGATTCTAGCTGGCATGATAAGTCTGTTCCTAGGTGAAGAAGATATGGATTTCAATGTGATATTGGGAGAGGAGGAGGGTAACCTCACCATCCAGATTGCAGGAGATGGAGTTATTCACAGGAACTGAACCGACACTCCATTCCGGACTCGTCGAGCACCTAGGTAGCTTTGGCAGACTAGCATGATTTTCCTTTAAATCATTTTCTGGCACTTAAGACATTCAGTATTTTGTTTTGAGATTAGTACTTGAGATATAGAATCGTGTTTGTTTTGACATTTTAAGTTTTAAATTAATGTATTATTTCTCTTTGTTTATTTATATTATTATCTCTGCATTCTTTTCAGTATAACTATTTCCTATCCTGCTAATTCTACAACTGTGATATGTAATGAGACAACGCAATACGATGAGAGTGATTCAGAAGAATGGGAAAATGATGTAATACCCGAGGAAATTTTCACGAAAGTATATGATTTTTAAAACAAACCAAAGTCCAACTTAGAGGATACTGAGACAGTTAATTTGGGGGATTCTGAAATAGTAAAAAAGACCCGCATTAGTATCCATCTATCACCGTCTAACAGAAAATAGTACATCGGATTTTCTAATGAATATGAGGACATCTTTGCATAGTCCTATGACGACATTACGGGGTTGAGCACATCCATAGTAGCGTACAAGCTACCTACCAACCCAATGCATCCACCAGTGAAACAGAAGCTCTAAAAATTCAAGCCATACATAAGTTGAAGATAAAAGAGGAGGTTACCAAGTAAATCAATGCCAAGGTCCTTCGAGTGGTCGAGTATCCGACCTGGTTAGCCAATATCGTACCCTTACCGAAGAAAGATAGAAAGGTCAAGGTATTGACTACAGAGATCTAAACAGATCAAGTCCTAATGATGATTTTTCACTACCAAACATACACATCTTGATCAATAATTGAGCTAAACATGAACTTCATCCCTTTGTTGATTGCTTCGTAGGATATCATCAGATTTGGATGGATGAGGAAGATGCAGAGAAAATAGCCTTCATCACAACATGGGGGTGTATTGCTATAAACTGATTCCATTTGGTTTAAAGAACGCTAGAGCTACCTAGCTGAGGGCTATGACCACTCTCTTTCATGATATGATACAAAAGGAAATAAAAGTTTACGTGGATGACATCATCATCAAATCCAAGAAGATCCTGGATCGCGTATTTGATCTGAGAAAGTTTTTGACCGCCTACGGAATTACAACTTGAAGATGAACCCTGCAAAATGTGCTTTCGGGGTCCTTGCCGTTAAGCGACTAGGTTTCATATTGAGCCGCCAGGGAATTTCGCTGGATCCGTCAAAGATGGAAGCCATCCAGGATCTTCCACCACCAAGGAACAAGAAGGACATGATTAGGTTCTTGGGGCATCTCAATTACATCAGCCGTTTCATAGCACAGTCGATGGTAATATGTGAACCAATCTTTAAGATGTTGAGGAAGGATACTGCAACAAGTTGGACTGAGGAATGTCAAAAAGCCTTCGATAAAATCAAGAAGTATCTGTCCAAACCTCCTATGTTGGTTCCACCAGAGCCCGGAAGACCTTTACTGCTATACATGTCTGTGTTGGATGAAGCCTTTAGAAGCATCTTGAGACAACATGATGAGATCGGAAGGAAAGAACAAGAAATATACTATCTGAATAAGAAGTTCACACCTTACGAAGCTTGGTATTCTCTATTGGAACGTACCTGTTCCGCTCTTACATGGATAGCCCAGAAGCTGATGCACTATTTCTACGCATATACCACATACCTCATATCAAGAATGGACCCCTTAAGTACATTTTTCATAAACATATGCCCACTAGCAAGTTAGCAAAGTGGCAAATACTGCTAAGTGAGTTCCACATTGTCTATGTGACCCATAAGGCAGTCAAGGGGAAAGCATTAGCTGATCACCTAGAAGAGAACCTTGTGGACGGATAAAACAAACCATTGAAAATGTCATTTCCCAACGAGGAAGTATCTTTCATAGGGGAGGATATCGCTGAAGCTTATGATGGTTAGAGAATTTTCTTCGATGGAGCCGCAAATTTTAAGGGTATGGGCATCGGAGCTATCCTAGTATCAGAAACCGACCAACATTATCTGGTATCCGCCAAGCTTAGGTTCCCATGCACCAACAATATGGTAGAATATGAAGCTTGCCTTTAAGGACATAGGTTGGCCATCGACATGAACATCCATGAATTAGTGGTAATCGGAGCTCAGACTTGTTGATACACCAAGTACTCGGAGAATGGGCCACCAAGAATACCAAGATACTTCCATACTTACACTATGTGTAGGAACTGATCAAGAGGTTCACGAAGATAGAATTCAAGCATGTTCCTCGGATTTAGAAGTAGTTCATATACGCGCTAGCCACCCTATCTTCCATGATACAACAACTAGATAAGTATTATATCGACCCCATATCAAAAGATATCCACAAGCATCCTACCTATTGTGCTCATGTTGAAGAGGAATTTGATAGGAATCCATGGTTTCATGCTATCAGAGAGTACCTGGAAAAGGGAGGGTACCCAAAAAATGCTACACACACTCAAAAGCGCACATTATGGAAGTTAGATAACCATTTATTTCAGAGTGGAGGAATTCTGTACAGAAGATCTCCTGATCTAGGATTGCTAAGATATGTCGATGCCAAGGAAGCATCCAAATTGCTCTAAGAGATACAAGTTGGGACATGCGGACCTCACATGAATGATTTCATTCTAGCCAAGAAGATTTTGAGGGTGGGATATTTCTGGATGACTATGGAAACTAATTGCATCAAGTATGTATAGAAATGTCACCAGTGTTAGGTACATGATAACATGATACGAGTAGCACCTAATGAACTCAATATGACGAGTTTGCCTTGGCCTTTTGCTACTTGGGGCATGGATGTCATCGGCCTAATCGAGCCCGCTATCTCTAATGGACACAAATTTATCTTTGTATCCATTGATTACTTTACCAAATGGGATGAAGTCGCCTCATACAAAGCTGTAACAAAGAAAGTCGTGATGGATTTTGTTCGGGACTATATTGTCTACCAATTTGGGATGCCCCAGTCAATTCTTTTTATAATGTCACAAATCTGAACACTGATCTGATAAAGTCCAAGTGCAAAATATTCAAGATCAAACACTGAAATTCTACTGCATATAGGCCACAGATGAACAGAGTCGTAGAAGCCGCCAACAAGAACATTAAGAAGATACTAAGAAATATGGTGGATAACTACAAATAGTGCCACAAAAAGTTACCATTTTCTTTGTTTGGATACCGCACTACGGTCCGAACATCGACTGGGCAATTCCATATCTCTTGGTTTATGGTACCGAAGTTATTATACCATCCGAGGTGGAAATTCCTTCCTACCAGATCATACGGGAAGTCGAGCTTAGTGACGCAGAATGGGTACAAAGTTAATATGATCAGTTGGCTCTCATTAACAGTAAAAAGATGAACGCAGTGTGTTAGGGCCAACTTTACTAGAACATAATGGCGAGAGAATTCAACAAGAAGGTCAGACCAAGATAATTTACACCGGGCAACTACTCTTGAAGCAGATATTCCCTCATCTGGATGATGCAAAGGGTAAATTCTCATCAAATTAGCAAGGTCCTTACATGGTTCACCGAGTTTTGATAGGAGGAGCACTCATACTAGCAAAAAAGAACTGAGAGATATGGATGAAACCTATCAACTAAAAAGCCGTCAAAAGATATTAAGTCTAAGATTGTATTCACACTTTCTTCTTGATATAGCATGAACTACGCTTGGCCTGATTCTTATTTAAGAGGGGATACATAGGCAGCCCTATGGGTTTGGTCACATTATAATAAAATTTCCCTTTCCCTCCGTAGTCAGGAACTGGGAAAGATTTTTAGCTTCGTTAGAGTAAATTTTGCCACACCAAGGGTCACTGAAACAGTATTGCCAGAAATTATTCATCAGGGCCGGGCCAGAATTTTGAGGGAGTCCTCAAAATTCCGTTCAGGACAAGTACATTGCAATGTTTCAAAATGTGTCACAGTCTATATTTCGACAAGACTATCTATTTTTATGCATTATCACATATTTTAAATAACTACATCTCTTACAAATGACTAATTACAAACTGCATATTGTCAAAACTCATATTTTGTAATAGCCAGATACTACCCAGGTTAGCTCAAATTACAGGAGTGTCAGACTCAGAAAACAAAGTCAGAAGAAAGGATGGAACAAGTAATCCAAGCACGAACTAACCTTTCCCCCGACATACAATTTTTGTTTGAATGCAGGTATAATAGACACAACATTATCAGAAATATCTACAAGAAATATACGACGGGACCGTTATCTCCACATAGACAGATGCTACTGAGCCTCAATATGTCAAGATAAGAATTATTTTCCTTTCTCGCGTTTACTTGAGGCTAAGCTCTGCCTCCATTATTGCATAAGGTTAAGCATTGCCTTCTACTTTCATAGGGCTAAGCACTGCCCTCATCCTATGCAGAGGGATAAGCACTGCCCTCATTACTTGCATGAGGCTAAGATCTGCCTCCATCATTGCATAAGGCTAAGCACTACCCTCAATCTTTGCATAGGGCTAAGCACTGCCCTCGTTCTTTACATAGGGCTAAGCACTACCCTCATTACTTGCATGAGGCTAAGATCTGCCTCCATCATTGCATAAGGCTAAGCACTACCCTCAATCTTTGCATAGGGCTAAGCACTGCCCTCGTTCTTTACATAGGGCTAAGCACTACCCTCATTACTTGCATGAGGCTAAGCTCTGCCTCCATCAATGCATAAGTCTAAGCATTTCCTTTCTCTGCATAGGGCTAAGCGCTGCCCTCATCACTTGCATAGGGATAAGCACTGCCCTCATTCTTTGCATAGGGCTAAGGACTTCCATCATTACATTCATGAGGCTAAGTTCTGCCTTCATCATTGCATAAGAATAAATATTGCCTTTCTCTGCATAGGGCTAAGCATTGCCCTCATCCCTTTCATAGGGCTAAGCACTTCCCTCATATGTATATAAGGCTAAGCTTTGCCTCCATCATTGCATAAGGCTAAGCATTATCTTTCTCTACATAGGACTAAGCACTGCCCTCATCACTTGCATAGGGTTAAGTAATGCCCTCATTCTTTGCATAAGGATAAGCAAGCCCTCATACTTGCATAAGGCTAATCTCTGCCTCCATCATTGTATAAGACTAAGCACTGCACTCATTACTTGCATGAGGCTAAGCGCTTCCTCCATCATCGCATAAGGCTTAGTATTGCCTTCACCTGCATAGGGCTAAGCTCTGCACTCTATACTTGCATGAGGCTACGGGATGTCATGGTCCATGGACCGGGACGTCATGGTCTAATAACATCATTCTCATGGTCCGAATACAATTTTGATGGTCCAAAAGGAATTTGCATCAGGTTTAAATCTCCGCACTCATAACAACGATATTATAATTGTTATGTATATGCTTGCATATTCGTTGTATTTTGAGCTTTGCAGGTAACTCGGAAGCTAACCGTTATCTAAACGAGAGCAATCGCTGCTCCGGTTTCCATTAAAATATTCACATTAATTGAGTATCTCCTAGTAACCGCCAACTGATGATGATTACTTTTCTTTATCGTAAACGCTCACAATAACATTGCCCCATGCATCTGTAACGATCAATTTCACATAATTGCCATTTATACTCTTCACCTGAAATATCAATTATTCATAACACCATTCTATCTGGAGGAAATCATTCTTTAAAGCATGTGGTCCTTCCATAATGATTCCATCGGTGTCATTCGCATTTGGATCTAGAACTACACGTGGTCTGATTTCCGTAAAACCATGGATATGTAGACAACTCAAGAACCAGGGTCTAGCCCCCATATTTTTAAACATCTCCTACACCCATTCTCACTTATTCGGACAAAATTGATTATCATCTCGATTTCTTTAACAGATAATTCTTTCATCATTTCCGGGTAAAGAGNATATATATTAAAAGTATTTGTAGAATATTTTCTTGCATTACTATCCCCATGATATGTTTTAATATCAATCTTTCATTTTTAAATCAATTTATTATCATGGAATTTTTATACAAATAATATTTTTTATTTATAAGCATTTTTAAATTAATTCTAGATTTTTAATTGGTAAACATTATTAATTATTCCCTTAAACTTATTTTTGAGTGATTAATTATCCAAATTAATTATCTACATTTCCATGCATATTTTATAATATTTTACGTTATTTTATACATTTATACTTGCATTTTTTACACTACTTACATATTATTTGCAATAACAGTCATGTTTGACAAATAATTATATTTATTATGCTATTTAGGTCAAAATAGAATTTTTATACTTTTACAATTATAATATATTACTTTAAATGTGTTAATTTAAAAATAGTATTTTATATCATTTTCTGACCATTTTATTTTATTTGTTTATAAATTTCCGTGTATTTTTATATCTTGGCCCAAAGTGAGGTGAAAATTGGATTCTTAAATTGCCCAAATGCCTATGGCCATCCCATTCAGCCATCTCAAGCCCAAACCAAATGACCCATACCCGCTGACCCATCCATAAATCGTATTTGCCCCTATCTCCATCATTAAAATCATAATCGTTGATCTCTCAACATCAATGGCTCACAAAAGACCCTTCATTCTCCTTATATCCTCACACCCAAACCCTAATCCATTTTCCCACTCGAGGCGTCCTCACACGCTCTCTTCTCTCTCGAGGACTAAACCATAGCCGACTCGAGGATTTTCCTCTGCCATTTCCTTGTACACGTTCATACGCGAATCTCTTGAATCGGGTGGATATGGCTTCGATCATATAGATTTGGATACGATCTTGGCTTATTACACTAGAAAGAGGGAATATCCTCTCGATTCTGGTCTCTGTTGATTTCTTCGTGATTAGGGCTTGTGTGCGATTTGCCCTAAATATGATTCCGACTAGGTTTGCATTGTTTTGATTTTTTTTCCCTTAATTGTTCATCTGTTACTGGACTATATCAACCCCTCCCTAATTCTCCCATAATAGTTACTTTTGAATCATTCTCTCTCACTCGCACTTGCTCTATTTTTGTTTGATTTCTCTGAGACTACTGTATTTAATTGGTCTATGGCCGGCTGAATGCCAAGGCCTTGCGGTACTATTTAACAACCTCCTTCGGAGCAAGCACTGCTCAGAGTCCTTTCGAGGCTCTTGTGAATTCTGAAGCACTGGTCACGGTTCTCTTTCAACTGCTGCTATTTGAGCCATTGCTGAAGCTCTAATTTTTCTCATTCTTTGCACGTTTATCTTGTAACTGGTTAGTGTTCTTGATTATTACAATTATTTTCCTTCTACTTGTTCATGTCATATGAATTTTGTGTGCCAATATTGTCTGAACTTCTATGGACTAGCATGACTTAGCTTCCCCTGCTATTTGTGAATTTTAATATTGTATTGTCGTTGTATGCTTCACTTGCAATTCTCTTATCTAAATGTTATTCTACTAATCCATGCTTACGAGTATTAAGTCTGCCTAAGTCTAAGACCTTTAAGGCAAGTTTTGACACACATAGTTATTATTATGTGATTAACTTGAATGATTTATAACCTTCTCAAAATTAGGAGTTTACCTGCTTGTTGATTTGTTGTTCTTATGATACTG